GCTGCATTCTCAGGTTCCCCCGATGACATGGGACTGCCCAAGAAAACAGGGGAGGGCATCTTCTTCAGCTGCCTGTAAAACCAATCCTGCAGCTAATTGACCTCTTAAGTTTGCTTTTATATGAAAGTAAAAAGAAATACCATCATCCTGGTATAACCACTCAAAGTCCAGTGATGTACCAGTATGTTGTTGGTCTTTGTTTGGTCTATATGCTATTTTTTCCTTTTTTTTTTTTTTTTTTTTTTCCCCTAACTGCGAATGAAAAATCCCATCCAACAGTGCTGCACGCACTTATGTATATTCTGAGAGGAAGACCCAGTTGCTGTCAGAATAAACAGATCAGTGTGCAGCTGAATGGCATTCCTGCAAACAAAAGAGCATTGGTTAACAATAAAACAGTAACAGTAAAATTGTAACAGTAACGCGACAACAATAAAATGCCAACTATTTTTTTGGAGTTTTTTAATTTACTATTTTTACTTTTTTTATGCTGTTTTTTTTTTTTTGTTTTTTAACTTCCAGATTTTAGGGTCCCTCAAAATGCGATAGCCAGTTTCCTGACATCTTTCAAGACCCTGTGTAAATGTGTACCCTAGACTGTGCCATTCTGTACCCTATACTATACTATACCACTAGGGCATGGTAGTGACGTAAGCAGTCTTTGACCAGGTTGGCCAGGACAGGAGGGACAAAAAAAGCGCATGTCATGCCTAAGTCTGTGTCTGCTACAAACGGGTGCCTTTTTGGTTTGGGGGTACCAGGAATGGCATCAGGCAAATGCCTCTTATGCAGCCAGCTAACTGCATCTGGGTTGGGGGTTTGGGCCACAGCACCTTTTGGATACAAAAGGGCCATGATGATTTCCTCCTGAAAGTTAAGGAAGGATCCACTACGTCCAGTTGCTTTGTAAAGCACAAAAGTGTTTTATATAGAGCCAATTGAAATAAACAGACACTTTTGTTTGTACCAGCATCTGGCTTTTTGGGAAATAAAGTCCAGCTTCATCATCTGCAGATTCTGTCAGTGAGGCTTCCCCTTCGCTCTCATCTGCAATGGTCAGAGTCCTGTAGGCCTCTTCACTAGAGTAAATTTCTTTGGACATTTTGGCCACTAGATTTATAGGTACCTAGTGCAACTCATGGAAAAAACAGCACCTGGCTGTCGGGAACTGCTTGAACCGCTACAAAATAATGTACCTGCAAGTGCTAACAGAGATCACCCCTGATTCTGCGAACACTGCAGTTTTGTGTGCAGTGTATCAAGTGATCGTGATCTAGTGACACTGCACTTGCTGGGGGGGGAGGTTAAGCATAAGGGTTAAACACAGGTTTGGCGGGGCTGATCCTGCTAACATTGTGATTTTCAGGACACAATACTTTTGTGAACGCTGGTATAGTTCTAATCTGATCAAAGATATTGATCCGTTTAGACACTATACTAGCAATGGAGGTTTATTGTGTATGTGAGCGTGTTCCTGATAATCAAAGGGTTAAATGTAATGACTCATGCAATGGCGGGCAATCTGACTGGCACGGATGCTAATGCTATCTGAAGTTGCCAGTGAGACTAATACAGTGATCAATAAAAAAAAAATACATCTCTACACTATACTGACACTGGTGACAGGGCAGTGAAGGGATTAACTGGGGAGGTGATCAGGGGGTTAAATGTGACCGATCAGTGCTTTTACTGTAATTGTGTAGTGCTTTTACTCACATGGATCTACTTTCTTCTCTCTCTGGAATGGAATGTGCCCATGGAGAGAAGATTGCATAATTTCCTGTACCTGTGTAAATGTAAACACAGGTACAGGAAGATCTGTGATAGGGCAGAGATCAATCATCAAATCCAGGCTGAACATCACTGGCCTGAATCTGATGATTGATCAGTCAGGCACCGAATCACAGCACCGCCATCTCGGCACGCGCGAGTGCCCTCCAGCCCACAATCATGGCGGGAGAGCGAATCACACATATATATATATATATGTGATTTTGCGCAGAGTCTGCCCTGTAGCGGTAGTCCTGCTATAGGGTGTGGCTAAAGGCAGATTTTGGGTTCTCTAAGAATTGTGTTTTATTCAACTGAATCAAGTTAGAATGTTAGAACATTAGACAATTGTTGGTGCTTTAAGGAAGATTGAAAAACTTCTAGCATAAAATGGTGTGCATGGACTCACAGGATAACACTATTTGCTTCTAGGAGCAGAAAAAACCTAGACCCTGCATGCCTCAATAAAGAGAACCTGTCACTAAAAAGTCATCACATAGGAGACAAAGTTTTTTCTTTTTTAATTGTAAAAAATGAAAGTTACACCCAAGCACATACCATTTTCCCCCACCCAAAAAAAAATTGAGGCCTCCCACATATACGCACGTACAAACTTAAAAGCACATGCTGGGGCACATATGCATGAAACGTTGATTGCGATACACATATCACATATCGGCATGCATGGCAGAATGAGAGCAATAATTCTAGCACCAGACCTCCTCCATAAAGCTAAACTGATGACCTTATGTCACCTAGTGACCTTAGTGTTGACCTATAGAAAATATAGGTGCTGAAGTTCATCACCATTTCTCCAGTGCAACAGATTTTAAGGTTTGACAAGTTGGATATCTATTTACTTGGTGCAACCTCATCTTTTATATTTTACAAAAAACTAGGGTAATTTATTACTTTTTTGTGCCCTAAAATTAACTTGCTTGTATTTTTTTACAAAATTTTGCGGTAATATCATGTGACATAAAAAATTTTAATATTTTCCCATAGCCACAGTCGTGCCCCTCCTACCAGAACTCTCTCTCTCTCACGCTCCCCCGGCAATCTCCGTGATCGTAGTGTCCTACAGACACCGCTGTGTGTGTGAAAAAAAACTTTTAAGCCTTTAGATTTTCTTTTAAGAAAGAGAAAAATTTATTTAGCGTGTGTGTGTGTGTGTGTGTGTGTGTGTGTGTGTGTGTGTGTGTGTGTGTGTGTGTGTATAATATAATGTGCACTATACTGAGCCTTTCTATGGGTACAAACAACATATAACATTCCCATATTATTATTATTATACAGTATTTATAAAGCGCCAACAGTTTGCTCAGCGCTGTACATTACAAAAGGAGGGTTCGAGGGCCCTACTCTTTCGAGCTTACAATCTAGGAGGGAGGGGATAGTGGTACAGGAGGAGATAGCTGTGGAGGAGATCGGCAATTAGCTAAGGGCGGGGTAGGTTTCCCTGAAGAGATGGGTTTTCAGGGTGCGCCTAAATGAGAGGAGAGTAGGTGATAGTCTGATGGATTGGGGTAGGGAGTTCCAGAGTATGGGTGACACCCTGGAGAAATCCTGGAGGCGGGCATGGGAGGAGGAGACTAGGGAACTAGAGAGACCATATGTGGCATCGCTGCAGTTGTCAGGAGTAGGAGAACTTGATTTGGGTTGTTGTTTAGTGCTAGATTGTGGTAATAGCATGAAATATACAGCTAAATTAAAAAGGGTTTTTTTTTTTTTGTTTTTAAATAAAAATCAGGAGCATCCATTATCATTTATTAACAAATGAAAACCCAATTTTGTCCTGGGGGGAGGAAACTTCACCTGGAAATGTGGAATGATATGTAATAGTTTTACGAACACATATCAAAGTGCCAAATGTGCTGTAGTCTTCTGTAGAATTTGTCACTCTTTCTATACGTATTGTGGCCTGTTAGGGCTTGTTTACACTTGTTTTGATTTTAACACACATTAAGCGCCACCGCTTCATTATGCATTTTAAATGTGTTTTTCATGCTTCTGCGATGTGTGTGTGGTTTTTTTTTTTTTTTGTTTTGTTTTTTTTTTATAAGGGCTTTAATGAAGCTTGGTAAATGCCCCGTATGTCTTTATTTTCTATTTGTTTTGGCTCTGTAGAACCCCAGCTCAGTAGTACCCCTAGCACATAACCCTGCTCAGCAGATCCCCCAGCTCCGTAGTACCCCCCAGCTCACCTGATCCTCTGGTTTGCTGATCCTCTCTCTGTGTCCCCACTCATTTCCTGCTATATTGCTCCCATGCTGCTCACCACTTGTAACATCTGCTAGTTCTCCTGCTAGACCCCGCTCACCTTCCTGCTGCTCCAATCTGCAAACTAGATGTGATGTCTTTATCAGACACTCCCAGAATATATATACATGAACTGGAAGTGACTGCTGATGTCTTTCCAGTTTGCTTGTTGGTTTCCCGTTGCATCCTGGGTTATCTCATACTTGTAATACCTCCAAAACAAAGTGAAGCTAACTCTGAATAAACGCCCCTCAAATTCCATAGGTGACATTAGCGAGTATTGTCATAGACTTCTATAGAGGCTTTTTTGTTTTGTTTTTTGTTTTTTTAAGCAAACCAAACACAACATGTGAACAGCACTGTAAGGTAACCATTTTATTCAGTGATAGGTGCTTTGATTGGCATTTAGAGAGCTTTAAAAAAAAATTGTCAAATGCCACTTCATGAAGCAAGTGAAAACGAGCCCTTACAGATTTAGTCCTGGTTCACACCGGTGCGAATTGTCGTGATTTGGAACTGTCAAATCGAATAAGTCGCACCGTGCTGTCGGCAATGGACTCCAGAGTTGCACTGATTTTAAAAATTGTTCCTGGAATATTTTTGGTGGTTTCAGGTGTGACTTGCATAGACATCTGTGCATGAAGTCACATGGATGTTAGATGTCGCACTGACCTGCGGCTTTGAAATGTCGCTAATTCAAGTGAAATAGTCACATTCAGTGTGAACCATGACTTATTCCACTCAGTTCTGCTCACTGTATTTTAGGTTACCATGTCTTGTGTGGTGTGTGTGTCTTTTTTTTTTTTTCCAATCTGTAAACAACCAAGGCTTGTATAACATACGTGCAGCCTGCAAATGACAGGATACTGTGTATAAGCAAATAGTTTGCACAATGGCAGAAGTTCATAGGCATTAATGGTAACGTTTCATTTTAATTGCCATCAGAAATACATTATCTGTAGCAGACTGCAATGCGTGGAAAGAAACCTCTCAAGAGGAGTGTCCCTGCTGAAGAAAGCAATGGTACTCCCGAGATTAAAAAACCTAAATGTAAGTATGAAAACTGTGCTCAATATATTTGTACATGTGTTCCATTAATAAAAGCAACACAAGATTGACAGTTTACACTCAAGTAGAGCCATTAGTAGAGTTTGTCTCTTCATGTTCCTATCGTGTTAGTGATTTTGACTGGATAGCATTTGGGCTATTATTAGAGTTGCCATTTACAAGGCGTAGTTCATGTTTGTGTTCTCTAAAATGAGTCAGAGCTGGCTCTCATGTTTGAATCTGTTCTTTCTTGTTTGCTATAAATTAATTTTGTAGAGTTTGCAGATGTGTTTTTTTTTTTTTTTTTTTTAAATAATGCCTAAATCATTTTCAGATTCAGTAGTGCAAATAAAAGAACCCTAATAGATCTGCTATATCAAACAAGTGTTATAAACTTGTTACACAAAGCAAGTCCACCATAGCTTAGGTGCCCCCTAAACCTTTTATCTATTTACACTAAATGTGGTCATGCATGATTAGTTTTTTTTTGTTTGTTTTTTATTTCCATTGAGATATTAGGCTAAACAGGAAAAAAAATCCAAAATACTTATGTATACATTCCTCAGATTAAGAGGAAAACATGAATAATTTGTTTGTGTGGCGTTGGGAGTGTGTGGTTTGTTTTTTTTTTTGTGTGGTTTTGTTTTTTTAGTTTAATACAAAGCATGATTAAGAATTCTGTGGGAGACCTGCAATTACTAACCTCCTCCTATACCCAGCTCTTTAATTTCCAGAACTAGAATCACTCTTAATGCAGTCCTTACATGTATTTTGCTTTTCAGTGGTCACTCATAGCTCCCACAACACTGTTGGTGGTTTGGTGCTCACCCTTGGACAAGGTGATGTGGGTCAGTTGGGCCTTGGAGAAAATGTGATGGAACGGAAGAAGCCGGCACTTGTACCGCTTGTAGAACCAATAGTACAGGCTGAGGCTGGAGGAATGCACACAGTTTGTCTTGCAGTATCTGGCAGTGTAAGTTTGATATTGTTCACTCCCAACTACCTAGCATGTTTGTTGTTCAACCATTTCTAATTTACATGTATCAACATGATTTATGGCTGATACACTGTCTCTTCTGTAACTTCACAGATTTATACATTTGGCTGTAATGATGAAGGAGCACTAGGTCGGGACACATCAGAGGAAGGTTCGGAAACAGAACCTGGGAAAGTCCAGCTGCCAGAAAAAGTTGTACAGGTGTCTGCAGGGGATAGCCATACTGCTGCATTGACAGAAGATGGAAGGGTGTTCCTTTTTGGATCATTCAGGGTATGCAACCAGCGGTTCTTAGTCCTTCACTTGCTCATCTGATGGAAGGATACACTCACCTTCGGGAGCATGTTACATATTCCACCCATTTTTATAACCTTTTTTGTAACATTTTCCCCCACTCCCTGTGACAGTGGATCTTCTCCCTGCACCCTCTATTACAATTTGAAAAGAGCTCGCCCACATGGCCACATCTTTCGCAGATTTCGAGTTCTGTCAATGAATAGACTGCAAGTAATGACAGCCTTTGCAGCTGACCGATTGTAGCTCTCCATGAACTATGAGAGCACTGGTGAACATCCTCCTAGTTCATTGGGAGGTATTCGTATCTGCAGAAGCTTTCCAGTCTCCTAAGAAAAAAAAAAAATAGTAAATGCACTTTTTGCAAAAAAAAAAGTGCATTTATCTAAAGCGTGTAAAATAAGTACTGAACAAATCACCATTTTTCTCAGTATATATATTTATAAAGGTGCTAGTGATATGAAATTGTCACCACATATCTGGAACAACCTATGCAACCCATACATACAAAGAAACCAAAATAAATACATTCATAAATAGGTTATGAATAATAAAATGGAATTGCTCAGGGAAAAGGTATTGAGCACACTAATCGAAATGCATTTAATTCTTCCTTTTACATCTTGGCATATAGCAGACTGTATGCAGCATGTTGACCATTTAGCCTTACCAGTGGCTGCTATCAGCAGCACATTTCCAAAGTAATACTGCTGTAAACACAGCTGGAGCAGAGGTCCTGCCTGTCGGTAAAACACAACTCTGGCTCCTTAACTTTTGCTTAGAATTCGTTTTTATAGATGTGTATCTCTACCCACAATGAACTGCGGGCTCTCATAAAACCACTATACATCCTTTGTTTACCATCCTTAGAAAGCTGCCACTGTAAATATTTAGGTGAGGTAGGCAAACTGGTACACCGGTTTTATGCTATCAGTAATCTAAAGCTACCCATTATAACCGTTATAAGCGGAGTTGCAATTTCAGTTAATAACCCTGATTGTGCATAGCTGGACTTTCACTACAATGGGGATCACTCACCGCATCCGTAGTGTTTGGGTTTCAGCACGGCCCTGGTGGTAGTGGCAGCGATTAATCCACGTGTGTACAGTAGCCGTGGCTACATTTCTAGAGGCTTTTGCTACTTCGCAAACATGGTATTGTCTATGTCAGATTCAGGGCAAGCAGGGTAGTGACCTCAGAGTGCATGCATGTGTGGGATCTTGCTGCCACCATCACAGAATCCGCTACTGCTCATGCTTGGGGTTAATGGGCAGCAATGTACAGTTGTGTTCAAAATAATAGCAGTCAAACATCACTACCCTGATCAATCACTGTTTTTGGTAGAAATTATTTTTCTACATGGCAAATAATTTACTAGTAGGTGTAGTAGAGTAATATAAATCCAACAGTCATGACATGCATGCTGCTGATTCTGTGTAATTGAATCACTAATTGAAAGGGGCATGTTCAAAATAATAGTAGTGTGGAGTTCTATTAGTGAGGTCATTCATTCTTTGAAAAACAGGCGGCAATTATTGCCCTTATTTTAGGAGGGAAGGCAGCAAATGTTGTACATGCTGGTTACAGTGCATTTCTCTCTGAAATTCTGAGGAAAATGGGTCGTGCCAGACATTGTTCAGAAGAACAGCGTACCTTGATTAAAAAGTTGATTGGAGAGGGGAAAACTCATAAAGAAGTGCAGAAAATGATAGGCTGCTCAGCTAAAATGATCACAAATGCTTTAAAATGGCAACCAAAACCTGAAAGACGTGGAAGAAAGTGAAAAACTACCATTGGAATGGATAGAAGAATAGCCAAAATGGCAAGGACTCAGCCAACAATCAGCTCCAGGAAGATCAAAGAAGGTCTAAAGTTACCTGTGAGTACTGTTACAATTAGAAGAAGCCAAGCTATCTGCAAGAAGCCCCCGCAAAGTCCGACTGTTTGAAAAAAAGACGTGCTCAAGAGGTTACAATTTGCCAAAGAGCACATTGACTGGCCTAAAGAGAAATGGCGCAACATTTTGTGGACTGATGAAAGTAAGATTGTTCTTTTTGGGTCTAGTGGCCGGGAGACCGTTTGTCAGACGACCCCCAAACACTGAATTCAAGCCACAGTACACTGTGAAGACAGTGAAGCATGGTTGCCCAAGCATCATGATATGGGGATGTTTCTCATACTACGGTGTTGGGCCTATTTATTGCATACCAGGGATCATGGATCAGTTTGAATACGTCAGAATACTTGAAGAGGTTATGCTGAAGAGGAAATGCTCTTGAAATGGGTGTTCCAACAAGACAACGACCCCAAACACACCAGTAAACGTGCAACATCTTGGTTCCAGACCAACAAGATTGACGATATGGAGTGGCCAGCCCAATCCCCGGATCTTAATCCAATAGAAAACTTGTGGGGTGACATCAAAAATGCAGTTTCTGAGGCAAAACCAAGAAATAGAGAAGAACTGTGGAATGTAGTCCAATCATCTGGGGCTGGAATACCCGTTCACAGGTGCCAGAAGTTGGTTGACTTCATGCAACACAGATGTACAGCAGTTCTCAGAAACAGTGCTTATACAACTAAATATTAAGTGATTCAAAGGAAAGCAAAATCTACAAACATTTTTCAGTTTATATAGTGAATGTTTGAGTTTGTAAAGAAGAATAAAAACACTGCTATTTTTTTTTGAACAGTCTAATATTCGCTTTTAATTTTTTTAGAGGAACAACACAAATTTTGATATATTTTACTTCATGTATTGATTTGGAATAGAATGTGTAGTGTTCCCAATGCATTTGTGTGTATGGAAATAAAAGCTATTAGAAGGATTTTGAGCTTTATTCACTTTTTTCAACACATTGCTATTATTTTGAACACAACTGTACATTCTTTTGCATACATGCTGATTAGGGGCAATATTGCGCCACCATGGTAGCGCCATCATCATAGCTTCTATTATTGACTCTTGATAGGGCAATGCTGCACATGTGTGGCCGCTGTGGAAGCGTCATCACTTCAGCTCCTGTTAATGAGGCAACCACTAGTCTTATTTTGTGGAACCCAAATGCTATCTTGGAGAAGTCCAAGGTGGTGGTAATGTTTCCTTTTCAAGTAAAATTTTTGAATCAAACTAAAACGTGTGTCTAACCAAGTGATCTAATGTTTCTTCTATAAATTATATTGATGATAATGAGGATCATAATGGTTATCAAAGGGGGAAAATAACTTGACTTCATTTAATTTGTAATAACTAGGAAAAAAAAAAAAAGTATAAAATGTGAAAAAATAATCTAAGCAACTATATGCATGCCAAGAGTAAACTATATATTTAGAGTGTTCTATTTTCTGTTTTGCTAATAGGACAACAATGGTGTTATTGGGTTACTGGAGCCTTTGAAGAAGAGTATGGTTCCTGTACAGGTCCAAATAGATTCTCCTGTAGTGAAAATAGCATCAGGTGAGTGACTAAGGGCTCATTCATAAATTCAGCTTGGCTTCTCTGCTAGCAGGAATCTGTGGCAGAGAAACCTCTACCTCATGCACGTGTTGTACATGTGGTCAGATTTGTACCCTGTAGTTAATGCAATTAGAGCCTCTGACCTGTGGTTCTGGTCACAGCTTGTGTGTGTGTGTGTGCATCTCAACATAGTAGCCTAATTGCCTGTATAAAGAATCCCTAAAAGAGAAACCTTTTTACCTTAGTTTTAGCTTGAAACTTGCATTTGTGTGTGCAAGTAGTAATTTTTAAAGTAGAACTCTGGGCACCATCAGTTCAGGTCAGCATCTAGCTAAGTATTGAATCCAGGTAGTGGACAGAAGCCTTGGAGCATTCGCCTTCTGAAACAGTCCAGCAATGGCTGTTCCATATTTCTCTTCCATGTTTCCTCCTTTTCAGCAGTCCTCTCTGCCAATAAAGGGAATATAGAAGCTACCATTACATATCTTCTGGATCATTGTTGCCAGTTTGTTATGTTGATTATCATGACCTCAGTATTCTATCCATACTAATCTGCTTGATAGAGGTGTATGAGGGATTTATTAACACTGTGGGATGTTTTGAACATTCACCTTGATTAATAGACCCTAAAACTTGGTATGGACACTTTATATCTAAAGACATTCATTGCACAATGTGTGTGTGTATGTATATATATGTGTATGTGTGTGTGTGTGTATATAATATATGTGTGTGTGTGTATATATATATATATGTGTGTGTTATATATATATATATATATATATATATTATTTTTATTTTTTTTTTTTTTTTTTTTTTTTTTTTTTTTTTTTAAATAAAGCAGCACTCATAGGACTGGAAATATGAACTCGTTTTGATGAGGTTCAAGCTTGTCTTCCTCCTAAGTTACAGCTAAATAAAAAAAGGCATGCATAAGTAAAGGATGGAGTCAGACCAAGGCACTCCTGAAGCTGAAGCCTAAGCAGTTGGGCCCCTTATTTTCCTAGAGATGATTGGTGTCAGTGATCTTGGTGTATGTATGGTCCTGTCATCTGTAGTTTTCTGGGTCCTGGTGTTCCACACACTGGTTTTAAAAGGCTCCCACATTTTACCAATGGATTAACCCTTTTAGCTTGATGCTGCTGTTTTTTTTTTTTTTTTTTTTTTTTTTTTTATCCCTTCTAAATCTCGGAACGTTGATTTTGATAAAACTTTACCATTGTACATGGTCTATAGCTCTGACATCACACTCTCTCACTTGTTTTTGTGACATCAATTTCTTTTGGGTGTGATTGGCATGAGGAACCCTTTGAGTGGTCCTTCATGACCATGTAATCGGCTTACTTTTTTGTATACATTCTCTGCTCTGTGTCCCCTCTCTCTGGCGCTCACACTGCTTCATACTTGGCCTCTGCTTGTTGACTCTGAAGCCTTCCATCTAGACCTGGGTACAGCATCCTCCCTTTTTGGGATACCTGTGATAGGTCTTTAGCAATTTCTCACCTTATTTACTTGTATCTCTCTCTGCTTCCTTTGGGACTATTCTGCTAGGGGGGCTGGCACCTTCTGTGCATTCCTTGTTCCTAACCTTTCTCCTGTTTTTACTGTATCGTATCACAGTTTTACTTATTTTCACTTACAGCACATTTTATTTGGTGATTGTTTTTTTTTTTTTCTTCCAACACTGGATTCATGTTCTTTGGCTCATCTCTTGGTCTGGATATCTGGTGGTGCTAGCTCTGCACTCTTCTCCTGTATATTTAACTGTCACTAATTTTCACCTATCCCAGCCCTTCTTCTCCTTCTCCTTCTTCTCCTTCTCCTTCTTCTCTTCTTCTCCTTCTTCCTTCTTCTCCTTCTCCTCCTCCCTCCTCCTCATTTGAAAATACCATCACATGTGGCTGGTAACAATGGTATGGGACTTTGTGGTATCTATGTTCAGTTTCACTTCACTGTTTCCTGAGGAAGATGAGCTTGTGCCTCCTCCAAAACATCAAAGTAAACAATGTGACAACTAGCAATTTTTCTCTCACCTTAGAGGGTTTCTCTCCCGCTCCCACTGTTTTGGCAATGGGGTAGGAAGTGAAGAGAAATGTCCTCAATGGACTTTTTTTTTTTTTTTTTTTCTCCACCCCCCCCCCCCCCCCCCCCCCCCCCCCGAAGTTAGATTTACTGTGTTTCTTTATAGAAGCTTTACAATATATCTTTGTGCAATTGATGTGAATCTTAGTGTAATAACTGGTTGCTAAGCAGTAACCTAATAATTTACTATCTTTGTGAAGGATGTTTATTCTTTTTACTATATCAGAGGATTTTAAATGGAAGTGTCTTGGTTTTTTTTTTTTTTTTTTTCTTCTTTCCCTTCTCAAGGAAATGACCACCTTGTGATGCTTACCGCTGATGGTGATCTGTATACATCCGGGTGTGGCGAACAGGGACAGCTGGGCCGTGTACCGGAGAGATTTACTAACCGTGGAGGACGCAAGGGCCTAGGTTTGGAAATTTCTGTACAAACGTCATTGCTGTGAATCTTGTTCCAAAGACATGAAAATGGGGGGGGGGGGGCATACTCCAAATAAATGCACTGAAACACCCACCTGTGTTCCTGTCTGCATGCTGCATTTTTTCTGCAGAGAACCATACTGGACCATGGAAAACTGCACTGGAACTGCGTGTGGTGTGAACTGTGAACAAAGATGTATCCAGAATGCTTCCAGTGTGCATTTTTGTGGTGTGAACTGGCCCTGAAGACAAAAAACACCATAAGCACCCGCATCTGATATTTGTACAGATAACAGCGCTCTGAGGAACTTTCTTATTCCAAAGAAGCAGTTTTGCAAACCGTTTTCTATATTATGTGGGGCTTAGTACAGAGGCATTTGTTTTGTTTGTGTTGGAACTGCTTTTCTATTTTCATATGACGGTGGAAAGCAAAAGCAGCTCTAAGCAAATATTGACGCACACAGATGCTTCAGAAAGCATGTTTGACTTGTGTCTAATGCCAGTGTATATTGGCCGCTAAATACAGTGCTTCCAGAAAGTAGTCACAGCGCTTAACTTTTGCCACATTTTGTTATGTTACAGCCTTATTTCAAAATGGATTAAATTAATTTTTTTCCTCAACATTCTGCAAATTTATACCCCAACGTGAAAAATTTTTTGTTTTGACATCTTTAAGTTAAGCGCTGTGAATACTTTCTAGATGCACTGTATATAGTATTCTAATGTGGCATAGGTGGAATTTAAAGTATCATTCAATGTAAAGTTGAGCAAGTAGCAGCAGGTTCTATAAGTGAACCAGTCATTCAAAAATGCACTTTACCTGAAATAGCAGGGTTCATACAAGTATTGCCAAATCCCTATGTTGCATGTAAAAACCGTGGTGCTTGTTTTTCGTGCTAAAGATTTAAAAGGAAAAAAAAAAACTATGCTGTTTCCCCTTCTCCAAACTTGGGCAGATCACATGGCCTATGGCCACCTGCTTAGAGCATTTTAAGTTGGTAAACTGGATCAAAAGATTGCTCAAACATATAATTACATATGTGACTTTTAATACATTAACACAGATTGATAAGATGAGTTAACCACAGTAAACCACATATTTTACATATACATTTAGAAGAATTGAGTACTGTCTGTGATATTATATTTTTTTTATTTTTTTTGCTGCAGAGAGACTGCTTATTCCTCAGTGCATCCGCCTTAAGGTGAAAGGTTGTGGACGTGTTGCGTTCCGAGATGTTTTCTGTGGTGCTTATTTCACGTTTGCTGTGTCACAAGAAGGCCATGTTTATGGATTTGGCCTCTCTAACTACCATCAGCTGGGTGAGTGGATTGTGTCTTTAGCTGGTTGTCTTTGGCTTTGATGTTTCTTTATTTTCAAATTCTAATCTGTGGTTTAAACCTTTTTTTATTTCGAACCTGGGAGGTTAAAGTGGCTCTTTAGTCAGTAATGCAAAAATTAAGTCAGTAGGTACAAAACTAGCTGCCGACTTCAGAAAAGAGAAAAAAAAAAAAGACATCTGCCTGAGGATCCAGCGCTGTGTTCATCCGGGCTATTTTCTTCTCTGGTCTTTGGGTCCCGATGTCGGCATGTTAACTGTGGTCAACCGGCTGTGACTCCTTGTGGCTTTACAGCCAGCTGCTCATGTGCAAGTGTGCTTTTTGAATGGTCCCACAGCCTTCTCTTGGACTTCTGATGTGTTGCAGGCAGGAAGAGGGATGAGATGTTCCGCTCGGGTTGGTGATCGAGTGGAAGTGGGAGCAGGTACCTCTCAAAACTAGGTACTTGCCCCAACAACCTTGGTGAAGTTCCACCTTAAGTGTACACTTTGTTGTTGCTGTATAAAATTATGATGACATTTTCTATTTTTGTAAAAATGTTTATATTTATGCAAGAGGAAACTGGGTCAGGCTGTTTGGCTTAATGTTTTTTCTGGTACAATTTAACCACCCGAAGACCAGGCCCTTTTTTTTTTTTTTTTTGACACTTTTTGTTTACAAAAAGTACAAATCAGTATTTGTTTTGTTTTTTTAGAAAATTACTTGGAACCCCCAAACGTGTGTCTGTCTATATAATTTTTTTTAAATACTTACATTTTAATGCACACGATGTAATACCCACATTTTTTAGTAAAATGTAAAAGATGGTGTTACACAAGTAAATCGATACCAAACATGTCACGCTTTTAAAATTTTGCACTCTCATGGAATGGCGCACGTCGCCATAAGCAAGGGAGAATGTCACCAGCACACCGAGGATCACCAATATGGGTCCAAAAGTTTTAAAGAACGATCACATAATTACAGCAAGGCAACGTTTCAGAGCCTCGGAGGATGACTTTATCATGCCTGATAATTCATTAAAACTTTTGGACCTATGTTGGTGATCCTGGGTGTGCTGGTGACATTCTCCCTTGCTGATTCTGTTCGGTTCCAGCCGACGGTCACTGCAGCACCCACTTATACAAATGTGTGCGTTTTGGATCGTACACTTGCATTCTACGTTGCCATAGGCAATGATTTAAAAGCCTTTACAAGTTACCATTTTAGAGTTAGAGGAAGTCTGGTGCTAGAAATATTGCTCTCGCTCTGATATCTGCAGCAGTACCTCACATGTGTGGTGAGATCGCAGTTTACCTATGAGTGTGGGACCAAAGCATGTGGAGGGGAGGGTGGGTACTTGAACATTTTAATTTCAATTTATTTTATACCTGGTCTTTTATAAAAAAATTTTATTGCTGTCACGAGGAATGTAAACATCCCTTGTAACAGCAATGGCAGTGACAGGTACTTTTTGTGGACTCTGCCTTAAATCTGTGTGTTGACACTGTTTTACTTCCGTGAAACAGGAAATGATGAAAATTCTTGTCACTTCCGGTTTCCTACACCATATAGCTCATCGGGATCTTCTGGTTCTTGCTGGTCTCTATAATAAGCCGGTGAAAGCGGCGGCTTTCATTTTGGACAGTAGAGCCTGAAGTCACCCCCTCCCACCCCTTCTAAAAGCCATACACTGGCTAGTAAGCCACTAGAATGCCTTTTTACTATAAAGTCAGCCACTGGCTTAAAAAAAAAAACAAAACATACCGTAATGAAGCCTGCAGTTGCAACCACTTGCCATATGGAAAATGATTTGGCGTCCAAGTGGTTAAAGCATATTCTTGGTCAAAATGTAAAATTTATGTTAATTTTCATATTGAATTTAAGTTATTTGTTAACTTTGTGAAGATCCCTACATATTTTAAATCCTTGAATTCAGTGACACGTAGGCATTGCGGTGTTGCAGAATCCAGAGCCTGTTAACTACAGAGGTACACAGAGGGGGGTTTCAGCAGGCACAGTTGGTACTGGAATCACAGCTTGCAGGTAGTAAGGTAATATTGAAAGTAAACAAGGAGAAGCTGCAAAGCATGCATGGAATCCAGAAGGCAGAACTCAGAACATGAAAGGAGATTTTTAAAGTAACCTTTTATATTGGATTGTCTAAAATAACTATTGACATTACAATGCTGATGATGTTATGAAAATGTTTGCTGTTCTCATGTAACTCCTTTTTAAGCAGAAGCTCCCAGCCTCTGTAAGGGCTCGTTCACACTAGGCTGTTTTGCCAACGCTTGCCAAACGCCCCTATAGCGTTTGGCAAGCGTTGGTCCGGTGTTTGCAGAGCGTTTTTAACGCTCGGCAAACGCCGCATGCGCGGTTTAGCGGAGGTTGCTAGGCGTTTGCCGAGCGTTAATAACGCCCCACAAACGCCTATAATGCATTTGAGTGGTGTTACTGCTCCGCAAACACCCCGCAACCGCGTCGCAACCGCACCGCAAACGCCGGCCGGGCGTTTGCGGAGCGGCACCATAGACGAGAATAGGAGGCTTCAAAGCCTCCTGACTCGACCAGAGGCGTCCGTTTTGCCGCGACGCAACGCAAACGCTCCTGTTAGAACAGCACCATGTGCTGTAATGTGCAGAATTGGCAGAGGCGTTTGGGAAGCGGTAAAAACGCTTCCCAAACGCCTCTCTGCCGCCTGCACACAAGGCTAGTGTGAACGTAGCCTAAGGAGCAACTGAGCATGTACTAGGAATGAAGTATGTGTCCCACATACTATTACTTTAACACAGATGTGTTTTTGTGCAGCTTAAGGGTCCTTTCACACTAATGGCTTTTGACACGCTTTTAATGCGTTCCCATTGACTTACAATGGGAGGGGCCTTTTTGGTGCCTCTAGTGACAGTAAACTGGGGATCTTCTCCCTGAACTCGCTGTCACAATTTAAAAAAAAATAAAAATGTAGCTGTGTTGGGCTCCGCCCAACTGTGTCAGTCATTTAGTTTTGTGAATGGGAAAATTATTGCCAGCCTTTGCGGCTGATGACCGCATTGATGGTTCCCGACGTGTAACTGCCTGCTCTTACAAGCAGACAGCTTACATTGACAGTCTGTTGAAGCCATGTATTGCTTTACAGGCTCCGAATAAATACAATTAATAAATGCAGGGCTTTTTTTTTTTTTTTTACCTGCAGAAAGGTGTTTAACTATTTTTGCTAGCTACCTTTTTTTTTGTTTTGTTTTTTTGTTTTTTTTACATACTGTGGGCAGCACAGTGGCTAAATGGTTAGCACTTCCGCCTGGCAGTACTGGGGTCGCTGGTTCGAATCCCAACCCCGGCACCACCTGCCTGGAGTTTGCATGTTCTCCCTGTGCCTGCGTGGGTTTCCTCGGGGTACTCCGGTTTCCTCCCACATTGGTTAATTGGCTCCTGTCTAAATAGGCCCTAGTATGTGTATGAATGTAAGTTAGGGACCTTAGATTGTACGCCCCGTAAGGGTTAGGGGGACTGATGTGAATGTACAATATATATGTACAGCGCTGCGTAAATTCACGGCGCTATAGAAGTACCTGAAATAAAGAAATACTTTAGTTAAGCGTTTTACATACAGACCAGAATGCTTCAAATATGAGCACCGGGTGCAGCTAATTCCACAGCAATATAACATACTGGACAAAACAATGATCCTTTTGGTGCAATGAATGTAAAAGCTATCTTCAGAGTTAAAACTTAAGATGGCAGGTTAAAGAACATATGCATCCCATCTGTGTTTTTAACAGAATAACTCTGCACTGCAACTTGTCTTGGCTATGACTTTAAAGATTAACTCCTGGAATTGGCCAAAATGGATCCCTTGCATTGGCCCGCACCCCTGCATTGCAAGGGTTAACTGCCCTTTTAGGTCTAGGGGTGCATGAATGAGGAGTAACACGATCCTGCAACTGGTCCGGCACTGTTTTCTTTCTTATCCCTACATTGCACTTGAATGATGTCAAGGGTCTGCCCACAGACGGGAGCTTTAGGATGCAGGGCATCAGAGCCAACAGAGCAGTTCTAAGATAAATACATCTTCTTCATCCCCTCCCTAAATGTGCACTTATCCCTTGTGGTGTGGAGGGGTAGCCCCACTGCAAGTGTACATTTTGGCTAACTCCTGGAGATCATCTTGAAACTGGTATAAACCCAAATCTAACGATTTTGTATGTTGCAGCTCACTGAACTTGAGATGTGGTGGCTGCATTTGTTTTATTTACTCCCCCCTGTTTTCACCTGGTAATCTGGCCAGTAACACCCTTTCTGTATTAGAGTGCCCCCTTACTCTGGGTGAATGAGCACAGCAGCATTGCCTGTCTTGGGGGAGGGTAGTGTTAAATGTACTAGCAAATATAGATACACTAAAAAATTTAAACCAACCTCCAGCTCACACTTTATAATCCGTAACAGCAAACGGGTGTATTTATTTTTTTTTTTTTCCTTTCGGAATAATGGTTTTTACATAAATAAAAACTGATCATTGTAAGCACTCCTGTTAGTGTTAAATGGTTTGTCTCATCCCTGTAAACTGATGCATCTGGAAGAGAGCTTGATCTTTTGAAAAACAGATTTATTGGCTGGATCACCAGATGAAAATAGAAGAAAGCCTAAAAAAGAAAACTAAGCTGCAATATGTTGTTTGCTTTTGGGTTTAATGGTGCTTTAATCTGACAAAATGCTAGCTGTCTTGTCTAAAGGCCGATGGAAGGGACCTGATCACTATGGCAGTTGATCTCTTGGTCATAAAGCATTTACCACTTGTGCTCACAGCCTTGAACTACACCGTGGACAGGTTGTTGGAGGTAACCAGTTATGGAACAAGTCCATTCAGTCCTTGGACAGACCATACTCTGCAAGCGGAGACCAGGTTGTCTCGGGTGTAGTGGCTCCGTAATCCTGCTCTGGAGTTAGGGAAGTCCTTCTGGTGTTCTGGAAGGTTCTCCAAGATGGATACCAATCTGGGGGGG